TTATTCCAGATCAGTCCTTATTCAGTTTTTTATTTATTTTTTATTTTTTTTTTTTTAACATTAATTCAACTACTTTTTCATGAAACAAAACGATTGGCAACGATTTCCATTATCTCATTGAAATCCTGTGTGGGCTGCCTGTTTTTGTTTGAACTTATCCGTTGGATTTTACGGATTTTAATTCGAAGAGGGAAATAATACTGGAGTGTGGGCGGCCATCAATTACAGAAGTGATTTGGGTTTTATAGAGCGCGAAATGAAATTCAAGAGCGCTCGGCGGATGCTCTTCTCTCTCTGTTCAAAGCTGAATTGATCTTTCACGGCCCACCGGTGGCCGTTCCAGCACTTTGTGCCTCTCGAACAGCCGGAATAATGATCTCCGAGTGCGGTTTCGAGCAGCACAGAAAGCATAAAGAAGGTCCTCTTTCCAGGTTCAGCGCGCGCACATTCTAATTATCCGCTCGACAGACGACTTAATTGAAGATGAAAGCAAAGAATTTTTCTCGAAAAGCACTTTTGGAAATGATATAACCTTTTTCAACAGCTAATATGTAATAATATGTTTTTGATATTGACGCTGATCATCGTTACGAACAAATATTTTTTTTAGAAAAAAATATTTGATAAGTGAATTTACAATTAAATGCCAATCCATTTCAATAATTTGAGGTTCAATACAATTGGAACCAATTAAAAAATTATTTATATGAGATTTTACATGAAATCTTTCCTAGCAACGCGATCTGAAAGTTTGTTGCCGCTTATAAAAATTTCTCTTTGCTGAAAAAAGCTTTTGGTCAACAGATATATTTCTATTTATGGCGAGACCTTTGAGCCAGCCAGGTCATTAACGTAAATCAACTCGATAAGACACTGAGAATATTGCGCCACTGCGCACAAAGGGGATGCTGAATCTGCAGCAACCCTACATGCAGCAGCAACTGATCCTCCGATAATGACGACAATAGTAAACCATGGTCTGGTGCTGCACCTACCTACCTCGCTCTAGCTCTAGCGCGATAAAATGCGCTCAAAATATAGTCGAGACTCTCTGCTTTTGTGCCGAACTTACGCGGCACAAAACGTGCGATAGGCAAAACCAAACAGCCCCCGTGTGCGACCGACGCCTGCTTTTGTGCCGCTCCATTAAGGGCTGCGCAGATAAATTCGGGCGAAATATTGAACGCGGCCTGCTTCTTGTTTGCAAACACCGACGCTTTACGGCGAGCTGTGGTGATTCGGTCGCAGTTTAATATACGGACAATTGAATCACCGCCTTGTGCAATTTTGGCTGCGGTAAATTTCCGACACGGTTTGTTTGCTGATGGGGAGAGTTTGCATTAGAGGTGATTGAATTTATGGAAAATTAATAATTCTAAAGCAGATAATTATGATTTAAACCAATTTTATGGTAGATATTAATAATTCAGGCTAAAATTATAGCTTCAATAATTTAAAAGCAAAAGAAAAAAATCCATCATAAGGTTGCTTTTAAATAAAATTTTGTTTTAAATTCATTTGATTTTTTAAATCACCTCAAAGGTTGGAAATAAATTTTCAAGCTGCATCAAATTTTCATAAATTCTAGAGTATTTTTTCAATAATATCGATCACTTCCGTGTTACTCACGCCCGACGCAGCCACGACTCACTCTCTCCACAAACCTAATTTCCAAATGTCATATTACCGAAATTACCCGCACCGCAAAGATGTGATCCTTTCCTGGCTCGGCTGATCGAAACGCGATCAACGATAATCTCCAACCGAAATCAGCTTTTGCGTTCTCCGCCTCTTCTGCTTGCGATGCGATATTAAATTTTGCGGGAAATTAAAAGCGTTCTCGTTTTTTGCCCGGCGGCGCAAGTTCCTCGTGCATATAATGTCAGATTGATAAATCCGTCGCAAAATGGAAAATGTCTTTTTGAGTGTTTCCTCGCATGAAATCGACGTTTTATATTGAATGCGTTTTGGCGGAACGCCGTTTTGATGCTCCCTCATGAGCATAACAAGTTTGATACAAATTTCCCCCCAATGCGGGGAGATACAAAAATAATGCCGATGCCACTTTGAAAGAACAGGCTTATGGAAATTGTCAAAAAAATTCCACAAAGTTGATCTGATTATTAGTCCTCTTTTATTTATTATTAAATTTAAAATTCATTTGTGGTCCGCTGGAATTTTCTTTGAATATATTATTATTTTATATAAATTTAAGCGATTCAAAGCTCTTTTTTGTGATCTAATAATAATAATGATGTCTGTAAAATTTATTACAATTAGAAATAATTATTCATAATTGAATACTCACAATCAGACGGAATAGATTCACAAAATTTGTTATTATTGAAGTTTAAACTTTCAAAAATAATTATTAAAATCAGCTTTTACTTATCCACAGACCATAGCTGGAAATTTCAAATGTAAATAATAAAAAATTTCACGAAATTAGTTAATTCTTCAAAACAAGGAACTGATTTCAGATTGTTTGAAGCTTCTTTCATGACCTAAACAAATATATTTTCCGTCTAATTATTTAAAAAAAAATATTTAATTCAAAACAGATGAAAAAAATATGGTTATTGACAGGACTTTTTGATTTTTTTTTAGCAATAATACTTCGCGTTTGAACTTAAACTCGGTTTTCCCTCAACGGGTTTTTGAGTCGATATTGTTTCAAATACAAAACAATATCCTGCTTTATATCGCTAAATAATACTTCTTTGTCCTCTTCCCTTTAGTAGCAAAAACCTCCTCACATCTGTAAGCCACCAAACAACAGCTTATTATATAAACTAAATTTTATTATTGTGATGAATAGTTTCCTCCGTAAAAAAGCATCCGGGCGCAAAAACCCAACAAAGTGCGCGTTTGTTTCGGACGAGCGTGCTAAAGTCGGTGGCAGAATGAAACGCGGGCATGTCTGTTTGGAGCGTGTAGAATGTTTTGCATTTGTGTGCTGGAAGGCACCCCTGCAGAACGGACGGATGGTTGTCGAGTGTGTGTGTGGATATGGTTGGCAGCAAAGACACGTCCGCGGAATATAATTTTATTTGCATAATAAAATAGCGAGAGCATGCGTCTGGTGCGCGCAGCAAAATTCGAGTGGAATAAATATTTCCATTTATGTATACACAGCGTTGAAAATACGCGAAATGTTGCCAAATTCGGTCGACAAACAGCCGAGTGAGCTGCAAACCGCAACACTTGAACAATCTCACGCGTGAACGTGCAAATAACGAAAATTTGTGCTGGAAAAATATTTCGCTCAATGGTTATTTTCGTTTGCCTTTGCATATTTATGGTTTCAATAAAAATTTGAAACAATTTAGCTAAAACCAATATAAATCCTCTTTAATATTAAACAAGTATATCAACATTTTTAATAATTAGTTTAAGCAAAATTCTTGCTAGTGGTGGTACCGTTTTATCCAACAATTCCTTTCGTTCCAAATAAATTGTTTCAACAATTGATGTAAACAATGTGATGTATCAATTTAGACAAATAAAAAAACAATAATAATTATTCTTATTAGTGTTCATTTTCTCCAAACAAGAATTGCGTAGTTTTTATTAATTTTAAACCTAATAAATGCACATTATGCCATTTGTGCTAAATTTGCGAGGTAATTAGAAGAACAGTTACTTAATATGCAAATTTTAAGTGTTTTTTTTTATTGCGTGGGAGGCTGACATTTTCCAAGCCCGAATATTTTTAGACAGGTTCAAACAGCCGTTAAAAGTCTCTTGAATATAAATGCAGGTACGTCACGTTTTCCCCAAGTAATTTTGTCGTGCTGCGAGTACAGGTAAGTAAGTATACATGTAAATTCAATTTGACGGCACCGAACAAGCCAAAATACACGAGACGAGACGTAAATGCACGTGTCAGAGTTGTAAAGGCAGTCGAGAGCAAACAGCACTCGAAGGAAGTGCGCTACAACTTTGTCGTCCCCGGCGGTGCATGCGATCCAGCTTTTCCTCCTTTATTCTTTTCCCGGGAAGAAAAAACGATAAGAAAGGGTTGGGTTTTGAATCCGGCATGTATGGAGAGGACGAAGCACTTGCTTTGATGCACAAAGAAGGCTGCTGGGTGCGGAGGGCGGTGCATTGTGTATGTTCTGGACCGCCGATAAATAAGTGGCGAAAATACATACAAGACCCTCGGAAAGATCAAACCGGTGGGTCGAATTTCATAACATTGAAAATTGACGTCGACCCAGAGCTACATAATTTTATACTCTGGTTATAAGGGTGGTTTCCTAAAATATTATACAATACATATTTTGAAAATTTGACCATTTTTTACCGTCGTTCCTAAACTTTAAAATAAGTGATTTTATTATGCTCAAAAATGTTCTGAAAATATATAATTAAGTGGATTAGGACATTTTGAGTCATTTTGATTCATTTGAGACTAAAAGAGTCTTTTTTGTGTGTTTTAGGTTTGTTTTGATTTGATTTTATTTTTGGTCTTTTATTTTTAAATTATCTTTCTTTCTTGGATTTTTTAAAATCAATGCCGCCGACAATTTAGTAATTAATATGTAAAAGCCTATTATTTGGTGCCTCGTGCTGTATAATTTAGAAAATTTAATCGGTTAAAATAAGACAAATACTTGATATTTTTACATATTATTTTTAGTCAGTCAACTTCCTTTAAACAAATTTTATAGTCTTCAATTTTTTCAAATGGATTTTCACGATTTAAATAGAAGAAAAATTAATTACAAAAAATTCTTGAAGAATAGAAAACGAACACCATTGGTTATGGTTTCCCAATATAGATAAAAACTTGCGTCCTCTAAATATATTGTTAGAAAATTGAGCTCTGATTGCAATAATTATATGCAACCTGATAGGGCAAATTAAGTCTGGGTTTCGAGACTCTTTTGTTTTTAATTTCAGTCTCTCATCAACTATTGGCTGAATTTGAAAATAATTTTAATTTCCGATCAGCTTTGTAAACCTTATTTACTAAATTTAATAAAATAAACACTCACCAGCTAGAACAAGTAGTCAAAATTTCCTCAGATCGCTTTCCTGAAACAAACACCAAGCAAAATTAATTTCCGAGTTGGAAATTTTCACATCATCGCTAATTAGTGGCGTGCCTGGACAAATTCGCCGTTCATCGCAGGCGCCCCGCGAGAATTATAATTGACCTTTAAATTCAAGCAATTTGGCGTAGAAGATTTACGAGTGTGACCTTTGCTGCATGCTCGGGTGGATCGGCGATCGCACACATTTCATCCGTCCCGTGATATAATAGACGAGGACAAGCTCTCGAGACAAAGCCGACGAACTTCGCATCACTGCGCCTAATTAAGATAATGCAGATAGGGCAATCTTCATTTTTGAACGAGCCGCGAGCGACCGGGATGAAAATATAAAAAATTTCATCTCGCGTGGGAAAGGAATTTTTCACGCGCCTTTTTGCTCGTTATAAAAGAGAAGAGGCGATTCGCGGAATGCTCGAGCACGCGCTAAGTGAGGATAATTAACGACGAGAAACAAATGAATTGCATTCTATATTCATTTTAACACTTGAGAGAATAAATAAAATTTAATTAAAAATATGTGCAATTTTCCCAGCCTGTCAAATTATTATTTCACTCTCTAGCTTTGCAGATCAATTTGAAAGCTCAATTTCTAATTCTTTTCACGCCACTTTCTTACTTTCCTTCGTTCGTATAAAATCGCGTCAGTTGGCGATGTCCCGCAATTTTCGCGTGTTTGCCCAGCCTTCCGTTTGATATGTTTGTGTAACATACGCCCAAATTTAATGCACTGCCGCAATTTATAAACTAATGATCGCACCTGCTGCGCGGCCGGGCGTTTTATGAGCTCGGCAAAAAGCTGCAAGAAGAGTGCGAAAAGCATGAAGTTGGTGCTTCGATAGGAGACGTTGGCCTCATCCCAACGGAGTTGCTTTCCTTTAATTAACGGCTTCCTGGACGGACACATAGGCAGTGCACGGCACGAACGACATGAACAGTACAACGGAAACAGACAGCTGTTTGTTTTCAAAAATCTCTTTTCAATCTGGAAGAATCAAGAGCAAATAATAACTTCCACAGAACTCCAGCTCATTTTAATTAAAATTTGATGAAAAATTAATCAAAAAGTTAGAATTAAATTTTTGGCAGTTCTTGGTATAAAAATATCTTAATTTCATCAATTATGAAAAAATTAAATGGTGATTTGAATTTGAAGTCGGCTTTAAATTCATATCACCATGAATCAACCCTCAATCGTGAAATCGTAAAAAAAGTAAATAATTTAAACTTTCTGTACAGATTTTAGTAGTCATTGGATTTTTTTTCAAAAATTTAAACATTTTCATCTCTAAGCTTCATTAAAATCCTTATAAAATCCAATAGACCTTGTTTTTGTATAGATTTAAAAAAAAAATCACTTATTTATAATTTCCAAACTAACAAAGAGTTCAGGTTTATTTTAATCAATCGTTTGAAACATTCTTGAACATTTGGAACCAAGTTTTGTGAATATCTCTGCTGTATTTTGATTAAAGATTAAATAAAAAATAGTAAATTTTCTCGCAATAATTTAAATGTTTTGCTGGATATTTTTCACCATCAAAGCATCCAACGCAAAGCTGCTTGAGCAAACATCAGGTATTCGCAGACAGAGTCAATATTTGCGCATAAAAATATTCGCAAAAAAGAGCAAGTCGATATAAACATTCCTTTTTGGGTGAATCATCGCCTTGCCAACAAGTAGGCAAGAGCGGCGCAAAAAAACTCGTCGTCTGTCGCTCGCACACCGTCTTTTTGCCTTTCGGTCCACGGAGCACATGGTGATGTGATTGAGGCGGTTTGTGTGCGAGAGAGTCAAGGTCGGCTGCTGAAGTATGATACCGCACCACGCACATTATACACACAATCTCGAAAAACAAAACGAGTATGCGAGAGAGAAAAAAAATATAAATTAACGCCCACTTGGTGGGCAGACGCGGGGTCTAACAAAGAGAGAGAAGAACCGGCTCTCTCGCGGTAGACCCATGTGTGGCGAGCCAGAGAAAGAGAGAAAAGGAAAGCAATAATCGTAAAGAAACATGCAACTGCCGCGTTTATGGCCTCAACAGCACACACAAGCATCCACTTCTTCTTTTCGTCTTCACCTGAATACTTTCGTGAGCCTGCTCATGAATCTTCAATGTCAACGCGACAGTAATTGTGAAACTCGACCTGCTGCTGCTTCATCAAAATTGAATGAAGCTCGCAAGCAGGAGAAATTCAAAATTGTATGTGTAGGAAAGTGTTATCTTGAAAAACAATTTAAATCACGGTAGTAATTTATGAAATATTAAATTAAATAAATCCTACAGGTTAAAAAATTTTGTGAAATAATATTTCATATTATTATTATTAATAGTAAATTGCAATTGTAAACAAGGAAAAATAAATAACAAGAGGAATAAGAAAATAACAAATTAAAATTTTAATCCCAAAAAGGAAACACTCCCCTGACATTCTTAATTTAAAATTGTGAAATTGTAAAATTTGAAGTAATCAAACATAACTCAACCTTTACCCTTCAAGAATATGAATGAGAATTATTCATGTATTTTCAAATCACTCTCAATTGTCTCAATCAATCAAAATGGAGAACAAACAAGTCAGACGATATTGCCAAACATTTTGGCCGATCCAATTATAGAAGATTTAGAGAGTTGCGAGGCAAAATGAAATTTGCTTGATATGAAATTACTCTTGGGATCGAAGAATAAAGTCTCCATACACCGAATGACATTATTTTTCTCTGCCAATTTCGTGAGTTTGTTTCATTGCGTGCTCGAAATTTGTCCCGTTCTCTCATGAAAAATTACTTCTGCTTGTCAAAAGAGCGTGTTTCTCGTGATTGGACTTCTTTCGTGTGTTTATTCAAGTATAAAAAGTCGCAATTTGTCAAAACAAAAACCACAGCACTTTTCCACTTTTTGATTTCAGTATTAAGGGAAAAGGCAACTTCATTCATCAGCATTTTTATACCCATGTGTGTACATAGGAGGCTCTCAAATCTGCATATTATTTGATGCTAAAAGCTAAAATTCTGCAGCGCCAGCAAGTTAGGCCAACACTCTTGCGGCGACAGCTGCGCCGACCATGCAGTCTGCATTGCGATTTAATATTGTCCGTGTCAAAGGCGACACTTCTTGCAATTGGTGCTTTATGTATTTGCTAGTGGTGCACTTTTTTCCTAGGCAACACACGTTTTCATCTATAATACGCCTGCGGTGTTTCATTTATTTTCAATTAGTTTCCAGACGAGAGCATTGAAATAAGAAAAAAATCGCAAAAAAATGCTGCGGACGCTGATGAAAAATCTAATTGAAAAACAAAGAAAATCAAATGTCAGAGTAATAATATTTGTTTTAGCTTTGATCTGAATCAAAGGGAATATTTATTGAAGTTGCAAAAAGGTATCAAAATGAAATGAAAACAAAATTCAATTGAAAACGGAATTGATAGCAAAATTGACTCAATTTTTAAATAAAAATTATAAAACAACAAATTTCGTTATTTATTTGCTGAAATTTGTTAAAATTAGAAGCAAAATAATTTTTAAAGTAAATTTTAAAAAATAATAGAAAATAAATCTTCCAGAAATTGTTGCATGTCATTATTCGTTTTGATAAAAATTGTAATTTGTGATGGAGTAAGCAAATTTTCTTCATCTTCAGGAAATTACTGCCTAAATAATTTATACATTAAGAAATTTAGGGATAAAATTTTAAAATAATCTAGCAGAGAAATTTATTCATGATATTATTAATTATGGCTTTAAAATCTCCGCGAATATGAATTGCAAAAAATGAAACCAAATTAAAATTCCAAATTTTATTTCACCAAACTTTCCTAAGCTGTAAAACTTTCAGAGCTTTAAATTAAAATTAAAAAAAAAAATCAACGAACAGTACCTTTGGTGTGTTGCCGATCACACGCCCGGAACCTTTCTTTCGAAGCACCTGAATTGCGCCAGGGTATAATGACGGTGTAGCAACCGCGGCCGCCGCACAATGACTGATTGACGGTGACTGTTGGTGGCGGGCTGGGGCGAAGAAGAAACGCCCCTGCCTTGCACCTGTGATGCTCTCCCGCTCCGCTATCCCTCCTCTGTATTATTTTCTGGCCGGCGCCGCAGACACACAAACAACACGGACCGCGCGAGTCTATCTAGGAACTCCGCTGGTGATGCAATCTGACCCGCCGACGACTGCATTGCATGACCCTCAATCGCTCTAGTACTCCGAAGAAGAGAGAGAGAGAGAAAGACCACCCTAGAGCACAATTCTTGATGATGCTCACGACCGACAGAGTCAAGTGCAGACCTATTTTATATATGAATAGAGTCTAATGGTTGGACGCCTCTGATCAGAAGAGAAGATTAAGAGAGGAGGACGGTTTTAATAGAGCGGAAAATTTAATTAAAATTGGCAACTTGTATAAAAATAAAAATATATCCCACTAAAATTTGCTCTTTGACCCTTCCGATTCCTTAAATTTTAATTTTAAAATTTCAAAACTGTTCGTTTTTTTTTAGAATATTTCGAAAAATAAAAGCCACGTCCAAATAAAGATTTTGGTAAAAAATAAATTTGCTCAAAGATCAAGGCTCCAACTGGTAAAATTTAAATCAATTTTTTTTTTCATTCTGTGAAAATATGTAAGGCTCTTTAATACAATAAAATTGATATGACTCTCGATTTTGGGATAAATTAAGTTTTTTAAGTTTTAAGAAATATTGAGCTATATCATCAATAAATTTCTCTGCTGGATTATTTTAAAATTTTATCACTTCATTTCTGAATGTATAAACTATTTAGGCAATAATTTCTTGATGATGAAGAAAATTAAATTTGCTAACTATATCAATGTATATCAATAATTTAAATTTTTATCAAAATAAATAACGACATTCAACAATTTCTGGAAGATTTATTCATAAGGCCAAATTTATAAATAGTTGTCCAGCATAAGCAGTCAAATCATTAAAAATGCATATTTTCTTTTTCATTT